CTCCTGGGAAGGTGGCACTGGGGGCTGGCACTGATGTGGAGCCTGGTGAGACCCAGCCACAGCCTCCCCTCTCACATGCCCTGCTCTGAGTCACCAGCCTGGTTTCAGTCTGAGCTCAGCCCTGGGCAGGGCTGCTCACCCTCCTCCCCACACCCCACAGAGGCTCAGGGATGGCAGAGGCTCCCCCAAATCCCGTCATTTTTAAGGATTATCCCCAGTTTTGCTGCGAGGCCGCCCCAGCTGCTGCTGGCTTTGCCCTGCCAGGTTTTCAGCAGGGTTCTGCTGAGCCAGGCACTTCTCTCTGCAGCTTTGCAGAGCCTGGGTCACAATCTGGGCTTTGATCTGCACTCTGTGTGCTCAGAAATCCCCCGAGGCCTGGGTGTTACTGAGCTCTGTGAAACCTCCCTGCCTGGAATCCAATTTTAGCCCTGCAGTGCCTTTATCAGCCACCATCTCTCCACAATTCACCGACAGCCCAGGCTGGCAGGGTGGGCAGGGGCAGACACAGAGTGAGCCCAGCAGCACCAGGTTACTCACAGCAGGTTTCTGTCACCTCCTGCTGCTCTTCCCAAGGGGTTTAAGGGGTTTTTGGCCTTTGGTGCTGAGGCTTTCCCATCTGAGGAACCCAGACTCTGTAGATAAGGAGCAGATGAAGTCACACCATCAGTTGGTGACTAAGCTGAGCCTAAACCCAGCTCTCTGTGCTGCCAACCTCAAACAGAATGAATTCCACTCCTCCTGCATGGCAGTGGCACGAAGGGTTTAAAACTGCAGCTCAGATGCACATTGATACGCCATTTATTATGTGTTAAATTTATTTATTGCTTCTTCAGTCTCGTTTCAGGTTCAATAATTTGCAGGCTGACTTTTTGGGGAGGTGAGCAAATCCCACAGGGGAGCCTCTGGCTGATCCCTGGGGGTGCTGGGATCTCCTTGCACCTTGAGCTCCCCCTGGTAGACACAGACACCACAGATAAAAAACTGAATTTTTGCTCAGAGCAAGGGGCTCGTCCAGAGGCACATCCACTCTCAATTTAGCTTCTCTGTAAGATGATTTTATATTTTTAATCTTTTTTATATTTTAATCTTAAAAACTCATCTGGAGTTCAGAGCAGGAGTGGGTGTCTCTCTCTGCTCTCCAACACCCCAGAGCTGCCTGCACCCAATTTCTTGTTCCTTTTAACTTGTTCCCTCCTTCCCTTTATATAAAAAAAAAAAATGTTTTTAATAGAAATATTCTTTATAAAAAATATTCTTTTTTTTTAGAACTTTGGTGGTGATGAGACAGCACCGTTGTGCATCACTGTGGGTCCTGAAAATCATGGAATTCATTCCTGAGTTGATAAACAACAGGGAATCTCTGCCACTGGATCTGACTGCCAATGGTAAAACCGAGCTTAAAACAGGGGATAGAAAATCCTGATACCAAAAATGAGGGGGTTTGGAATATTTGAGGGAAGGAGGGAACCCTGAGAAGTTAAATCAGCTGGGAGTGACTGTGATGGGATTCATGGGATGCCCCATCCCTGGAAATGCTCCAGGCCAGGCTGGATGGGGCTTGGAGCAGCCTGGGATGGGGTTTGGGATCACAGAATCCCAGAATGGTTTGGGGACCCTTAAATCCATCCAATCCAACCTCAGCCATGGCAGGGACACCTCCCACTGTCCCAGGGTGCCCCAGCCTGGCCTTGGGCACTGCAGGGATCCAGGGGCAGCCACAGCAAATCTGGGCACCTGTGAAATCATTCCTGTAGCAGAAATATTCCCTTTATTGACAGAAATATTCCCTGTATGTCCCAGGGATCAGGGCAGGGTGGCACTGGTGGCTCTCTGGTGTCCATCCATGCTCCTGGGAGCTGGGAATTCTCCATCCCTGCTCCTGGGAACGCAGTGCTGCTCTGCCCAGGGGGATTTGCAGGATTCCTGGCGCTGGGAATGCCCCCAGCAGCTCCTGGAGGGCAGCACCAGCCCTGTTTGGCTGGGGAACCTTTTACTGCCCCCCAGGTTTGGCAGCTCAGGTGAAAGAGCAGCACAAGCCTCAGGATGTGGACTCTGAAAAAAAACCCTTCCCCACCTCCCACTTGGGCTGCTCAGAGTCCTGTGGTGTTCTTGTACAACTTCCTTCCTGCTCGAGCAGCGCTCTCTAATTCAATTTATTCAATTTTGGGCTCCCTGCCCTGCCACACTCCACACTCAATTTCTGTGCTGGTTTGCTGCTTCTGAGGGGGAATCCTCCCCTCCTTGCAGGTCACTGCTCCTCAGAGCACTGTGACAGATTGCTGGGGCAGGGAGGAACCAGCACAGCACACACCAGGCGGTTTGGGAGTGTGGAGGGCAAGCAACAAAATAAATCCATTTGTGCAAGAGCTGGTGGAGAAATGCTCACACTGCCTAGGAACAACTGGAGAAAATAAAAATTGGGAATATTTTGTAAGTCCCAGAACACCTGGAGATGGTTTCCGGGCTGCTGAAGGAAGAAAGCTGCTGTGTTTTACCAAAGATCCAAATCCATGCTCATGTGCTGGATAAATCCCATTTTCCTGTGTCACACTGCCCTTCCCACAGCCAGGCTGGGGGCTGACAGGGTGCTGTGAGATGATAAATCCCTCACCCAAAGGGAAGGGCTTGGCCAGTGATAGCTTCAGAGGGTTTGAAATCAGCCTGGCAGGAGGTGGAGGTGTGTTCTCACCCGAGTGGGGTTTTATTGGGAATGGGAGGAAAATGAAATACAGAAAATATTCCATCTTCTTGGTTCCATGTTCTTGGTACCAGTGTGAAACGTAAATCCTCCTTGGTGCGGTGCCTGCTCATCAGGAGCAATCCCAAAATATTTTCCACATCTCTGCCAGGATGTCTGAGGGATTTTTTTAATCCATTTTAATGCAATTAACTCCAGGAATGAAGTGCTCCAAACATTTGGGAAGGAAATGCTCCAAA